GTCCAACTAAGGGCATACTATGCAGGCAGCACCTTGAGCTTGACATAAATGCGTCTAATGATGCGCTCACTCCATTCTTTCAAAGGACTGTCCCCTAGCACACGCTGGTCCACTTGTCTCCTTACCTTCTTACTAGCAGGCAGAAGTTCCTGGTATATAGTCTGAGACAGAGAAAAGATGTCTGTAGTGAGTGTAGAAGAAAGGGGACATGCCACAGTGTTAGAGAGACCAACATCTGCTTATTGTATTTGTTCTGGTAAGTAGAATCATTCCATTCAGGCTTTTTGCAGTAAACACTGTCTTTTCAGAGAAAATAACTCCACTGGCCGTTCCTTAGATGGCTGCTAGAGGTGCTTCCTGGGGCAGTACTGCCTAGTGTGCAGCACTGCCATTCAGTGTCTCCACCCCTCTGCATGCAGATTACACAGAACTCTCCCCTTCAGAGACAACACTTCTCACCTGGCCCCTGGCAGAGGAGATGCTGATTTCAAATAGGGGCCTAAGTGTTGACCTTGTAGCTGGCCTCCCTGCCCTGATCTGCCTAGCTGATACACAGTCTCAGCCAGTCCCATGGGGAAGCATTGTAATTTGCTCAGACCACCACTCTGAGCCTTCAGCAGCTGCAGAATTTAATACAAGTAATATTTTACTATATTTAGGGAGGCAAGAAGGGTGGTGGTTTTAACATAATAGGGTCAGAAATACATGATTGTGTTCCTGACCCTATAGTGCTCCTTTAAGCAAGAGTATGTGAAGAGATAATTAGGGTTTCCACCTTTCTTGGAAAAAAATACCAGCCTTAATAATTTGTATAATAAATTAGTTATGCATGACATCACATGATGTAAATCACAAGGAGTGACATCAGAGAAAATTCTATAAAATCACCAAACTACTCACAGTTTGATTCTGCTGTATAGATGGATTGCTCCCAGTGTCTCCCTGTCTCCCAGTGTCTCAGTCTCGCAAGTCACCCAGTGTCTCAGTGTCCCTATGTATCACAGTGTCAGTGTCCCCATGTCCCCTAGTCTTCCAGTGTCTGTGTCCCCATTACTCCCAGTGTCCCAATGTCTCAGTGTGTCCCCATGTCACTAGGATACTGGGGACACTGAGAGACCCGGGGACACTGAGACATTTAGGGAAACTGGGAGAAATGGGGACACTGAGACACTAGGGACACAGATACTGGGAGACATGGGGAAACTGTAACATTTGGGGACACTAAGACACTATGGACAAAGACATGGGAACACAGACACTGGGAGACTAGGGGACACTGGGAGACTATGGGACACTGGGAGACTAGGGGACACTGGCTGGGAGACAGACACTTGGGGACACTGGGAGACATGGGGACAGTTGTGGACATGTGGACATATAGGGACACTGGGAGACATGGGGACACCAGGCACACAGACACTAGGAACACACTGGGAGACATGGAGACACTGAAACATTTGGGGACACTAAGACACTAGGGACACAGACACTGGGAGACTAGGGGACGCTGGGAGACTAGGGGATACTGGGAGACTAGGGGACACTGGCTGGGAGTCAGACACTTGGGGAGACATGGGGACAGTTGTGGACATAGACATGGGGACACTGGGACACATGGGGACACTAGGCACACTGAGAGACATGGGACACAGACACTAGGGACACTGGCTGGGGGACATGGTGTCTCCGTGTCCCAATGTCTCCCAATGTCCCTATGTCTCACAGCGTCCCCATGTGTCTCAGCATCCCCATGTGTCTCAGTGTCCCCTAGTGTCTCAGTGTCCCCGAGTGTCTCAGTGTCCCCAGGTCTCCCAGTGTCTCAGTGTCCCCTAGTGACAGTGTCCCCATGTGTCCCCTAGTGTCTGTGTCCCCTAGTGTCTGTGTTCCCATATGTCCCCAAGTGTCTCAGTGTCCCCATGTTTTCCAGTGTCCCCAAGTGTCTCCCAGTGTCTGTGTCCTAGTGTCTCAGTGTCCCCTAGTGTATGTGTCATCATGTGTCCCCTAGTGTCTGTGTCCCCTAGTGTCTAAGGGTCCCCATGTGTCCCCTAGTGTCTCAGTGTCCCCTAGTGTCTCAGTGTCCCCAATGTGTCCCCTAGTGTCTCAGTGTCCCCTAGTGTCTCAGTGTCCCCATGTGTCCCCTAGTGTCTCAGTGTCCCCATGTGTCCCTGCTGCCTTTCCCCCCATCCCTCACTTACCTGACCTGTAGAGCTGCTGTCTGGACTCTCTGTGCTGTGTTGCTGCTCCCCCACGGGTCAGTGAGTAGTAGAGAGAGGCAGGGATATTCTGTAACTTCCTATCCCTGCCTCTCTCCACACACAGTGACCCCTACTGGCCGGTGCTGGTATTGCAGAGTAATTTCCATTTATTCTGAGAAAATTAGCTGCATTTGTATTGCTGGTATTACTGCAATACCGGCAGGGCCAGGCAGCCTCAAATACCGTCTGTGCCATTAAAATACCAGTCAGGTGGCAAACCTAAGAGTAGGTTAAATGGGCCTATTCCATGGGCCTGGGCCTGGAGCTGCAGCTCCATCAGCCCCTATGTTAATCCGGCCCTGGGTACAATCTCTTGGGGACTTTCGGTACTAACCTTTTCTTCTCTTTGTCATTTCCTTACTTCATCATTCCCTCTTTTTTCTCATGCCATCTCGAAACCATCCAATTATTCGGCATGATCACTCCATTTATGCAATTACACTACCCTTTCATGCCATTTCTTTTCCCATTCATCTTTTTCAATCTAACGCCATATTCTTCTTCTTTTCATTTTAATCATCTGCCCCACTCTTTTTTTCCACAGCACATGAACAAATTAACTCCTTCACTGTTAAGATCACCACTTACTAGGAATGAAATCGCAGTTTGTTTGGCAGTTTCAAATACAATCACATTTTTAAAAAACTAAACAAAAAAAACAAACTCCTCTAGTATTATTCAGTATAACAGCTGTGACGAAGTGCCCTTCGCCACTTGTGCCTGGAGAGGACTAATTGCCAGTCTCCTGCCCTGCGACTATGGCTCCTGGAAGAATTTGCCCTTTAAATACGTTATTTGGGCATAATGGACTGCTTCTGGCCCTTTAAATGCTCTGACAAAGGATCTGCAGTTTTGCTATGCACTTCGGATGCAGAGTGTGAAGAAAACCCCTGTTTTATGGACTTAGTCTGACTGTTTTATTCCCCCCTCCCTTCTTAGAACACCAGTTTAAACCCTTAATAACTGTCATATTTTCAAACACTGTCTGACCCTTTTTAACTGTCCTTTTGTTTTCCTCTGAGGATGAGTTGTATTGCTGCATGAGTACTGTTGCTTTTGTGTGCTCATTAAACAGACCCGCTTGACCCTTTCTTGAAGCCTTGGCTCATGCTTGGGGGATGGGATAAGTCTGCAGTGCTGATGGTGTCGGTTGGAGTGCTTGGAGTCCTCGGCAAGCATTAGGAGCATCGATTGATGGAGGTACTTGGTTGGAGTGCTAGCGGGTCCGTCACATTTGGTGGCAAGCGGTGGGATGGCGTCCTAGTGTGAGGAGAAGCAACTCGGAGACACTGGTAACATTACGGAGCTACAAGTGAGGGCGACGCTAGCACTTGTGCAGTGCAGCATCCCTGTCTACAGAGGAATCCAGAAGGCGCGGATCAGAGCGCTAGTGGCCCAGAGTGGGGGCCGAGTGAACATAACTTATTGCAATGAGGGCGATGCTTACATTGCGGAGGTAAAGAGGCGGCTAGCCGGGTATGGCCCAGATCCTTCGGAAGAGGTGATCATCCAAATCATGCAAGAGTTGGATGAGGAGAACCAAGCAGCACGGGAATATGAGTTCAGATTGTGGAGATTGGGGCTGCGGACAACTGGTCTCTCCCCCCAGCGGCGGCCTGAGTTCCAGAAGGAGGTGATGGTCGATCCCTCCACCTTACAGCAACCAGCGTCCTGGGGAGTGGAGGCAACCGGCCTCTCCCTCCAACAGCAGCCAGAGGTAGCAGAGGTAGCGGATCTCATAGACTGGTTCTGGGAGGACCCCCAACAGACAGGTGGAGATGGGACCAAGGTCTCTCTACCGGCCCTACAGGGATGCGGGGCAACCGGCCCAGATCTCCAGTTGCAGCCAGAGCTACAGGGAGAGGAGAGCAGCGACCTCCCTCCCCAGCGACAGTGCACCATGCAGAGGGAAGAGACAACCGGTCTCCTTTCCCAGCAGCAACCAGAGGTACCCAAGGTAGTGGACCTCATAGACTGGTCCTGGGAGGATCCCCAACAGGCAGCTGGAGATGGGACCGAGGTCTCTCTACCGGCCCTACAGGGATGCTGGGCAGCTGGCCCAGATCCCCAGCGGCAGCTGTATTTACAGGGAGAGGAGACAATCGGTCTCTCTCCCCAGCGGCGGCCTGAGTTCCAGGAGGAGGAGACGGTCGATCCTTCCACCCTACAGCAACCAGCGCCCTGGGGAATGGAGGCACCTGGCCTCACCCTCCAACAACTCCCAGTGGTACTGGGAAATGGTACGACTAGTCCCTCACCGCAACTACAGGGGGAAAGCAACCGCGGTCTCTGTGCCAATTCTACAGGGACCCTGGACGGCCGGTCCAGATCCCCAACCATCTCCGCAGGAATACAGGGAGGAGGTAAGCGAGCCCTCCTCTCCCCAGCTAATTCTCAACCCAGTCCTGGGGGCTGTGGATGGGTCTGCGATACCCACTGACCCCCTTCCAGCAGAAGCGCTGGCATCAGGGCAGAGCGACGCTGGTCTCTGTCCACTATTTCCCCTCAGCAACCTGGGACATACAGGTCAGAGTTGGACACCAGGAATCACCAGGGGCAGTAATGGTGTATTGTGGGTGGGCTACTCTGTTAACTGTTTATTGTGGGTTTTGCTATGCACTTCGGATGCAGAGCGTGAAGAAAACCCCTGTTTTATGGACTTAGTTTGACTGTGTTATTCCCCCCTCCCTTAGAACACCAGTTTAAACCCTTAATAACTGTCATATTTTCAAACACTGTCGGACCCTTTTTAATTGTCATTTTGTTTTCCTCTGAGGAGGAGTTGTTTTGCTGCATGAGTGCTGTTGCTTTTGTGTGCTCATTAAACAGACCTGCTTGACCCTTTCTTGAAGCCTTGGCTCATGCTTGGGGGATGGGATAAGTCTGCAGTGCTGATGGTGTCGGCTGGAGTGCTTGGAGTCCTCGGCAAACACTAGGAGCATCGATTGGCAGAGGTACTCGGTAAAAGGGCCAGTGGGTCTGTCACAACCGCTAATACAAAAATAATCATATTCAAGTTTGCAATCTTTGTTATAAATACCGTGCTGGTGATACTTATTCCACAGTTGAGAGGTGCTCGAGTTCTTACATGCCCGGCACAGAAAGCTGTGTCAGTGAATTGTTGTGTCAATGATAGGGAAATAAAAAAAAAGAGAAAACATATTCTTGCTAAAAGTTATTTATTGTCAGAAGCACAGTGATTAATTAAAATGTGGGAGGCTGTCTCCATGTCATACAAAAGAGAAGCACATTTGGATGAGAAAGAAGTGCTGAAACAGAAGGTCAAGTTGAAAAGGAGGAAAATGTTGGGTCAGACACAAGGAGGAAATCCTAATTAATTGGGCATGTGGATTCTTTGAATAGCTTCCAAGACATGACAGCTGTTTTCAAATGTGTCCTCAAGTACTTGTAAAGGGTCAGATTTTAAAGAGATCTAGTTGTCAGTCATATTGACTGTACTTGTGCACGTGAGAAAACATGGCTCAGTCAAACCATTTTTTTCTAAAATTTTGTGACACCTCAATTTTGCTTATATTGCTTCGACTCAAAAATCTAATTCGGGAACCAAATCAAATTAACCAAAAAGGCAAGAAAATGGGCCAATTAGTGTACTGCTAAATATATACATAATATAAAATGATATGTCACATCTTACCCGCCCCCTCCTCCGCTGACGGCTCACCTGCAGCTGTCCAAACATGGGATCATGTGATCACCAGAAGGGGGCTACGACCTACGACTTCATGTGCGTCACGTCTCCCGGGCAGTGCCAGATGCCAGAGGAACATGCGTGCTGGGTCCAAGCTACAAATAAAGGCACCCTCTTTATTGTAACTCTTCTGCCTCAGCGAGTAGTGCATGTTGGGGTCCCTATCATAAACTCTGACATTATTTATATATTCTGCAGTACAAGCAACTAATAGATGGAAAAACAGGAGCAGCAGTGGAAAAAAATCTATATTCTTGGCAGGTCCTACTCTAACATCCTAATGCCTGCTCTTATGAGATTAATCCACTTACTTGGAAAATGCTTCCTCCTGGGACTCTCTGTAGGTCAAGGTTAAATAAGGCCCTTAATTGAGGCACTTGTGACAGGGAGGAGTGCAAAACCAGGGAGTTGGCCTAGACTACCAAATATACCGGTATATATGAAACCAAAAGGCTGTCAAGAATGGGGTACATTGACGTTGTGGCTTGCTTATGCAATGTATGATTATATACTGTAACTAAATCCCCATTATATTTTGCCCAGGTGAGGTTTTTTTAAATAAAGCTATTACATTCTGTGAGACTTGAAATTGCTGTTTAGTGAATGAGCCAATGCGCTGATTCTTGTATGATACATTTATATATATATATTACCCCTACTTTTTTCCCCCTCTGTTGCTCACTTTTTCTCACTTGATCTGTGAATAAACTCAACATTCAGTGACTGCCCCCTAGCCATCAATCATCTTTTTTTCCCATCAATTATTTATTATTTCTGTGCCATGGTCAAAATCTATAATCACAAACTGAAATGGACATGCTCAACCATTGTATGTTTTGGTTGGTTTGTGATTCGGGTACATTTCATCTCTGAGTTTATAAATTCGACCAATCACTCGATCAGCCCCAAAGTCGGACAAATTGCAGTTCAGATAGAAACGAAAGTCTAGTGTGAAAGAATTATCAAATCTAAAATTAAGATATGATTGCAACCTACCCTAATAGTGGTACTTAATATATGTGTTAGGAACCTCTTAGGCAAAAGAAATGTTTGGGCATGGTATACGACATTATAGAACATGAAAGGAAGAAATATTAAAAAAATAATAGCGTAGACAGGAAAGATGAGACTGCAATTATTATACATGCAATATTTTTGCTGCAATGTAATTCCATTTTAAGGAGTGGAAGGTGAGAGAGAGTGACTGGTTAAACCAGCTTGTTATTCTATTCAGAAATAAACATTTAAAAGAGGCGGTCTTTATGAATCACTAGTCTGTTGAATATTTACCATGGAAAAAACAGTCTTTGTGACTCCTCACCCACATGTAACTCACTATCTCTCGCATGCTATACATGCTGGCTACGTCATTCTCTTCATCACCTGGGTGTGAGGACCTGTTTTATTTTTCAGGTCAGTGTCTGTCCTCTGAACCTCCTGTCAAACAAGTTTGAGACTTCAGAAGTAGCCGCAAGTAAAAGAAACAAGTCTAGGAGTTTACGCATGTTCATACATGACAGTTTTTCTAAAGGGGACCCCAGTAATAAATGAAACAAATATAAGCAAAGAAGAAAAAAAACAGAGATAAATAGTTAAAACAAATATGTTAATCTAGGTTGGTTCATAGTTATATAAAGTAATGTTTATTTTAGAACTTTTTGCACTGTGTGTTTTAGCTTTCATTGCAAGAGGAGGAAAAAAATCCATATATTTAATATTTATGTCAGACTTTACAAATGGGTGCATATTATATGAGATCTCTCTCTCTTTTTTTAACCATTCTGCTTCCAATACGTATTATGAAAGATACCTCTTTCTGTAAATTTGCTAGTGGAATAGCTCCAGAAAGTAATGCAGCAGCTTCATTATCAGTTCCAATTTCAGGGTTCATTTCTTAGCCATCATTTATTATTCAGCATGTCTTCATTATAAGGTTAATATAATGAGTACCTTAATAGAACATCACAGAAGTGATTTGACATGGGCAGCTATGACCTGCTATGGTTTTGAACAGCTGATGCTCACACTGAGTTTTTTTAGATGCTATTCTAATATTTCAAAGTAGACATTCACAAAACGCTATCGTGTAATTGAGATTTTAAACTGGATTGTGATATCTATTGCTAAATGTTTAACATATAGTTAAAGGGACACTATAGGCACCCAGACCACCTCAGCTCATTGAAGTGGTCTGCGTGCATATACCCAGATCCCTTAACCCTGCAAACCAGTGGTGTACACATGACCCATGGGGCCCCGGTGCGAAAATTGATCCGTGGGCCCCCCCCAGCGCTTACTCGGCGCGGGTCGGGGCCGCAACACATGCCGGCGGGCACCTGGTCGCAGGGGTCGCAGGGCTGCGACCCCGCAACCGCGGTATGCACACACACTTAAAGGACCACTACAGACACCCAGATCACATCAGCTCAATGAAGTGGTCTGGGTGCCAGGTCCCTCTAGTTTTAACCTTGCAGCTGAAAACATAGCAGTTTCAGAGAAACGGCTATGTTTCACTGAGGGTTAATCCAGCCTCTGGTGGCTGTCTCATTGACAGCTGCTAGAGGAGCTTCGGCGATTCTCACTGTGAAAATCAGTAATGCTATTGGCGGTTTAAATGCGCGCGCGCCTCTTGCTGCGCATGTGCATTCGGAGCTGAGAGGCGGACACTGGGGAGTCCGACGCTGGAGACACACACACACACACACACTCTCACGAACATACACACTAGCTAACAGACACACACATTTACTGACAGAGACACACTCAGCGACAGACATACATACACACTCACTTACAAAACATACACTTTCGCGGACAAACACACACTCACTAACAGACATCAAAAACACTCAGTAGACACAGTAACACACTCACTACAGAACACACCCAATAACAGACACACTCCACACAGACACATGCACTACTACAACAAACACAACTTACACACACTAACACACACACACTACACACACACACACACTAACACACACACACACACACACTAACACACACACACACACTACACACACACACACACACACTAACACACACACACACTAACACACTACACACAGATACACTAACACACACACACACTAACACAAACACACACACTAACACATACACTAACACACACACACACACACTAACACACACACACACATTTTTTTTTTAAATTTAATCCCCCCAGCCTCCTTTCCTTTTGGAGTGCTGGGGGGATTCCCTGGGGTCCAGTGGTGCTGCTGACCCGGGCTGTCTGTCTGGGTGGCCGGCGCGCGAGGGAGCACTTTCCCCTGTGTGCTTCCTCTTCAGTTCCCTCGCGCGCCGACGTCATCTTCCGGCTCCGGCATCAGTGCGGTGCACGAGGGAGCGGAAGAGGAAGCACACAGGGGAGAGTGCTCCCTCGCGCACCGGCCACCCAGACAGCCAGCCCGGGTCAGCAGGGCCAGCCTCGGGGGGGCCTGGGGTGGCCGGTTCCTGGGCCCCCCAGGAGAAGAGGCTGGCCCTGTGGGTACATACCGGTTTGCAGGGGCAGCCGGGCCCCCTTGTGGGCCGGGCCCGGTCGCAGCCGCGACCCCTGCGACCCTGGTATGTACGCCACTGCTGCAAACGTAATTATTGCAGTTTTTAATTAACTGGAACTGCAATAATTACCTTTATGGGTTAACTCCACCTCTAGTGGCTGTCTATAGGGAGCTATAGTGCTAGGAAAACAATGTTGTTTTCATGGCATTATAGTTTCCCTTTAACAGAAAAATGAACAATAAAATATTTTATTCAATAGTGTAACTTACAGAAGGTTTAACAAAGTAAAGACAATATTTCCAAACATTTCAAGTAGACAAAAAGTGACACTTTCATTTTAGGAGTGTGAGGGGTTGTGAGAAATTTTAGTTGACTTACTAATAATAATAAAAAAGTATTAACCAGGAAAGGTACATTCAAATTACTCTGGTTTTCAAGTACGTCCTGAGGAAAGTATGTCATGGAAAATAACAATTAAATATAATTTAGAACAGGAATAATGCATTTTATTTGTACAAAACACATATATTGTAGTTTAAAAGCATATTACTGTGAGTATTATTGCTGTGGAGCTCTGGCGTGAATTCAGACACACCGAGAATAGTGAAATACTGGAAGAGAGGGACATTAGAACGCAAGAGAGGGACGGGTGGATTAGGGCCCAAATAGCGACTGTGCCTCCTAAATATGACCACTTGAGAAGTATGAAAAGACCCATAGCAATGCGCTGTGGTTGCTATGG